CATAAAATGGCCGAACAGAGCTAGCACATGGCAAGTGATTTTTTGTTGTTGTTGTTAATGCTGATCAAAAAACGACATGAGTTGGATTTACCTCAGCAGTGGCTGGCTTGAAGTGCCGTGGGGAGATGGTGATTTAGGTATGGTACAGACCCCCAGCAATCTGTAAATACCTAAGAACGTAAATGTTTTGCTCTGGTAAGGTGATGTTTACAGAACAGGGCAGGCTCTCTCCCTGTAAATGATATACCAGATGCCTGGGAGCCGGTGTTGTTTCTAAATATAGGCGGTCACCTCCACTGTTGCTGCAGTGAGACCGTAACCGTAGACATTAGATTAGCTGGTGAAAGTCACAGGTATTTTGTAAAACAATTTTCACACCGAATGATTTATCCTAAGGAGTTAAACTGAACATTTTTTTAAAATCTTAGATACCCAATTTAAAGTCTAACAGGATTGTAAAGTTAAAAATTTGCTGCAAGCGAAGATGTCTATCTTCTGTTTGGTCTTGAGAAAGTTTATAAATCTTTCTACTATAAAGCATATCCGCGTTGGAAGGTAAGGTATTTAATATTGAACACATTTGAATGGAAATTTGCAGTTGCTAACTTTCAGATATTGAAAGGGAGAAACAGGGAGGGGTGAAGATTTAGTTCAGAGCGGAAACTGGAGCATGATGTATCCTTTGATTCTCACATGTTACCAGATTAATTATAGAAATTCATCTGAGGAATTATAAGGAAGAAAATGAGAGGGGGGTGCTTGGGAGTTAAGCAAGCAGAATTCAAAACAAAAACTTTTTTGTTTTCATTGACCTCAAGCATGTACTATAAATTATTCCTTTACTGGACTGATATGACTTTATTTCTTATACCTTACTTAGGAAAGAAACATACAGCAGCAGTGTTGACTTTTGGCTTAAAAACATTTATAAATCATTCAATCGCTTTATATGGTTTATTTAATTAAGTTGATAGCACTGAAAATCATTTTGGTCAATAGATGCTGTTATCTATGGCTTGAGTTTCCCTACTTTTGGAGAAAAAAGGATTGTTCCTTAAAATTCATATTAAAATGTCCCCTGTCGATCAGTTCATATTTAACGAAGAATGCTAGGTATTATTTGTGCATCTACATGGCAGGCACGCACTTAGCGTGCTCATTGCTAATCTGCCCTCAATCCTGTCTCATAGGTAGTGTGTTTCCTATTTTATGGGCAATCTGACTCGCAGAGGGGTTAGGTACTTCCCGAAGACCACCGCCCCAAGCTGGGCTGCAAAGCCAGGCCTTCCCGGCCCCTCGGTCTTTTTCCTCCGTGAACTTCTGGCCTCCGACCCGCACCTGGTTTCTCACTTCCTTCTGGTTTCCATTTCCTTCTCCTCCTCTCCTGCCCACCTCCTTCTTTAAGGCACCACAGGCAACAGGGGTCCTGTTTAAGGCAGGTGAGCAGAGCTGAGTTCATCCCAGGAAGTAACAGGGCGGTGGCTCTCAGAAGCCTGGTCCCTGCCCGATGGGCCAAGGGAGCCCTCATCCAGCACTATGTATTCTCGGTGCTTCTCTCACTGACCACCATCCGCCCTCTCCTGGAGATTGTGTGACAGTTAACTCTTGTTCATGCCAGTGAGGTCATATGAAGAGAGATAATAGCAAATGCACCTACAAAAGTCTGGCTTCAGTTTTTTTTCTTCCACTCTAAGGGACTTAAGTCTTGGTGATCAAGAAGATGACAGCGGGGACAGAAAGCTATGTGACAGTCTTGGGGGAGAGCCCGGGTTGTGACGGGATGGTAAATTCAACGAATACTTGCATTTCTTTATTTTGGCCCTGGAGTGGCCTGGTTTCTAAATGGCCCTTTTCCTGCTTTTCTCTCTTTTGAACATCTGCAAGCAATGCTGAAATGGTTCAGAAGACTAACGCAGTTGTTTCAGTGGATAAATTGTATGCAAAACAGGAATACCTAGTACCCTCAGCTGCAAATATTGTTAGTTTTGCTGCCCCTTAAATGTCTTCATGATGTACTAGAAAGAAATAAGTCCAAAATGAATCCAAAGGGCCATTTCTATAGGCTTTTCCCAGTCCCAACATCTGGTTAATTGCTACGTTAGCCAGTGACAGCGGAAGAATAGGCGGTGATAACAAATCGGCATCGTACAATTCAGCAAACAGCTTTCAGAGGTAAATTAAGGATAATGACATTTATTAACCCATTATACAGGAGGGAGCACATGATCATTATAAATATTGTAAATGAATATTTAACTTCAAACATATATTTAAGCGTTGATTACTTAAGACCTTATCAATTTACTACTGCTCTGCTGACTAAACTGAATATAGAGGTTTCACACATGCAGTCTGTTTGGAAAGTTAATATTATAATTTTCTTATTTAAATAGTCGCAATGAAAACTGATAAATGTTCTGAACTCCTCTAGAGTTTCACACTGCCGTCAAGTTGTTTAATGATAAAACAAACAGATGTGTATGATTTTTAAAGCATTGAATATTATCTTCGTAGGTGGAACTTGAAACACAGTTGTTCGCCAAAAGAATATTATTTATGATGGTGACTTTTGCATTTTATTTAGTGAGAACATAATGTTTCAATTTCTTATAAGTTATTATTTTGCCGCCAAATTTTGTCCTATCAACAAATATTTACTGGGGTGCATTAATTCAATTCTGCTTTTAATAAAGTACAGGAGTGTTGCCCACTGGAAAGAAATAACACACAAAAACTAGTAACAGTAACTCTTTGTTCAGTTGAGAATTCTAAGATCTGGACGTTGGCTTTATTAATCTTCTGGACAAGCAGGAAATACTGCTTGATCGGAAGGCGAAACAACGGCAGTGCAGTTGGAACTATAGGAGCATCAGCTCTGCAGTTAGACTATGTGACTCGTTTTCAATGTTTTCATTTCTTCTACAGCTCTCATCTCCTCAACTTTAAAACAGAAATATTAATTATTTATTAATACATTATTATTGATTAATGTACCTCAAAGAGCTGTGAGAACGAAATGAGATTCATACACACTGCTTAGACCAGAGTATCACGCACGTAGTAAACACTATACAACATCAGCTGTGATTTCCATCACTCGAAAATCAGCCGTAAGGAAACGAAAGATTCGTATTTTCAATAATCCCCCCCTAATATCATTGGATATAAAAAGGCTGTTGATTGTCAGTTGACTTCTGCCCTCTATACTGGGTTCACTGGGTCATTTCATTAACCTTGTGATATCTGTCCCGCATTTTAGCCAGTGGAACTGTTTGCACCTCACTTGTGGCAAAGTTCTACTGTAAGACCATCATACAGAAGCATAGGTGTATGTCTGGGCATTTTCAAAGGTACGAAGTGTAGGAATAATGCAGTGGTTTCCTGACCTATATAAGCAAGCTTTACACATGCTTTTCATGAAATTTATGTTTCTGACCAACAGCTAAGTGACTTTATTTAAATTGCACTAGGACTGATCAGCAGTTTATTTCTTTAAATTATTTATATTTATTGCATCCTATGGATCCACAAAAAGGGTAGTAGACAAGGAGACAGGTATTCGCAGACCGTCACATTACATCGGGAAGATGTTCTGTCTCGTCAGCATTGCTTTACTTTATCGGCCGATGATACCCTGTAAGTGAGTATTTTTCTGATTGGCGTAGTCTGTGTGTTTAATCACTCTAAGGTGAGCTCTCATGTCCGTTAAATAAAACTGACAATGCTGGTCTTGCCTACAAGAAAATCACTGTGCACCAAGCCAGTATCTTATAAAGTCACCTGGGTGGACCACAGCGGGGGAGGGATGGGAGGGGCAGGTGATGGATGGGCAGGTGCTGGCTGGGTGCTGAGAGGGGCCTGGGAGAGAAGGAAAAGGGGGCTTCTACATGGGAGGGCACTGATTTTCCTAATGGGGAGGTGCCAAAGGCCTGTCAGAAGAGGGGTCACTCATGGGGCGCATGACAGGTCAGGGCTTTATCCACCAGGGCACACGGTTGGAGGCTTTGGTACCTCCATCCGTCCACTGCTGGCACAAGGAGAATCAGTGACCCCGAGCAAGCCCTTGGTGCTCTCAGCACCATTTCAGACACCGATGAGAAATATCGTATGATATCAGTTATATGCGGAATCTAAAAAAACTGATACAAATGAACTCATTTACAAAACACACTCAGAGAACGAACTTATGGTTACCAGGGAGAAGGGTGGCGGACAGGGATCTTTGGGGAGTTTGGGACTGACATGTACACACCGCTGTATTTAACATGGGTAACCAACAGGACCCATTGTATAGCACAGGGAACTCGGCTCACTATTACATAACAGCCTAAATGGGAAAAGAATTCGAAAAAGAAGAGATACGTGTATACGTATAGCTGAGTCACTTTGCTGCACACCTGAAACTACACTCCAATATAAAATAAAAAGCTAAACCAAAAAACCAAAACCCCAGCGACAGTCTGCCCCTCCCAGCCTGTGACACCCCCTTTCTGGGACCCGCCTGGCGTATTGCAGTTTCAGGACTTGGAGCTCAGCTCCTTGAGACACTTGCAGCCCCTCACACCGAGGGCAGGCCACCGTCGGGGTGCAGAGAGCAGGGGGACAGCAGGGTGGGCAGGGGTGGGGAGAGGTCGGTGTGCCCGCTGCCGTTCCTGCTGATGGTGCAAAAAGTTGTTTTTCTGGGGTCTGCCTGAAAAACCGTGAAACGGGGGCTTCTGGGCAGATCTAGTGACTTTAATCCTTCTCTTCTTTGGAGAGTAATGCAAAAGGTACAGTAGGTCTGGGATAGGCCTATTCCAGAACATGCATCACAGCCCTCTGAGTTTGGAAACTGCCCATCGGGGTCCCTTAGATCAGCATGGAATTTCTGGGACGTGGTGAATCATCCTGGTCACTTCACTGAACACGGAGCCTCAATAATGTCTCTTCCGCGTGAATTAAGTGTATCTCTCAGGGTTTACTCTGACTCACAGATTTTTGTTTTCTTTCTTTTCCGGCAGGTTCCTGGGCAGATCGGTCACCACTTCATGAAGCGGCAAGTCAAGGTCGTCTTCTTGCTCTGAGAACATTATTATCGCAGGTAAAATATAACGTGTAGTTTAAAATATGCCCTCGTCCCATGAGCGTAGTGTATGAACATTTGTTGCCAATAGTACTCAACTCAAAATAATAAAATTGCTTAATAAATTTTACTAGTCTTTTTAACTCATATTATTAGCCAAGTTCACAGTTTCTCACTTATCTCCAAAACTTCTTTTTCAATATTTTGGTGTAGTCTTAGGTCTTACTGTTTCAGATTTCTCATACCGTATATTTGTTCATTGATAGTCATATTTAAGCAGGAAGTAATTGGAGGTATGTATTATTCATTACACATTTGTAATATGCTTAACTCAGTACAACGTGTACAGCTAATTGCAGCCTTAGTTCAGTCATAAAACATCCAAGAGGAGGCGATCAGACCGGATGCCTAAGCAATCTTTTTTACATTATGGTGATCTGTAGTATGTTACAGGGATTTGCCTAGGAAAGCTGCAAAACAATCATTTTTACACCTGTCTGTGCATCAGACTCACCTGAGGAAAAACTGAAAAGCACAGATTCCTTATTGAAGTAGAAGGGACTGTGCCTTGGCCAGCGTGATTTAAATGCACACCCAGATCTGGAAGTCCTTGCCCTGGTGCTTCCCAGTATCAGGCAGACAGGAATTTTCTCGGATGACTCCAAGGGAAGGAAGGGCTGTCACCCACTTTAAGCAGCGTTGCCGGGGGCTTGGAGCACCTGGATTCCAGGCTGGCACCTGAGGTGAATCACAACCTGTCTGAGCCTTCTTTTTCTCACCTGTACAGTGAGGATGCAGGCACCCCCTGTGGCCTTCCAGTTCTGGGATAACCCTGTGACTATGTTGTTTGCTCATCACTTGATGAAAAATACAATAAAAACTGCAAAAACGTCACTAACTTCTAAAGGGTAACCTCCCTGAAAGGGTCATGCAGTTCTCGGAGAGGAGAGTAATCTTAGGATATTTCTCAATACGTAGCTCATGTCCATGGATAGGCCAGCCGAGAGGAGTCAGAGGATGCCCCCAGCCAGGCTTTGTGAGGCGGAATCTTGACCTTCACAGAAGCTTCTGTCACGGGTCACCTTAGTGGGCAGCAGCCGGGAATTAGCTCTCCAAGTCTGGCTGCGGGCTAGCCGATTCAAAACCCCCCAAAGGATAATTTAAGGGATCTTAAAAATTGCCACTTGCTAGTGACAGAGATTTGGGGTGATATTTATTTTCTTGCCTTCATTTTAAGATTCTTCATGTCCATTCTGGTATTATCACAGAGCATGGTAATCTATAAGATGTTACGGGGGTTTGGCCATGAAAATCTTCCTATTATATTGCTTAGAACGATTGTCAATAGACAATGAATTACCAAAAATAGCAAGAAGGCTAGGAATCTCATATCCTAGCAATATTTGATTATTTTAGTCTGATATCGTTAGTTTAATTGGAATAAAAATATTTTAAGTTGTACTTAGTTTTCATTGAATAATAAAATAAAATCAAACATTTCCTATATACTTAGTTTTCATTGAATAATAAAATAAAATCAAACATTTCCTATATGCTGGGCATTGTAATCATTATTGCTTTGCATATATCATCTCATTTAATCCTCATGGTAACCCTAAAATTTAGCCGTTAGAGTAGTTGTCCAAATTAAAATAATTACTGCATTATGGAGCTTCAAACCCACATCTAACTGACTCTGTATTCAGATCTCTTAACCACTGACATACAATCTCGTTGATGGGGTTCAGAGCAGTCTGCCCCAAAATACGCCCAGATAGCATATTGATTATTTTGAATTAAAGCTATATGAGAAACAGCCAGTATAAAGAAGGACACTCTGCCTCTCCTTTGTCCCCCTGAAATCGGGAAACAAAGCTCCCAGGGGAGGTATCCTCCCCATGCTGGGCATCCTTGTCACCAGAGAAGGCGAACTTGGGGTGGAGGAAGCTGTATAAACAAACTTTATTTACTTTTAAGTTGCTACTCCAAAAGCCCAAATCCTTTTGTCTCGCCAAATCTTCACAAACAATTGATTCTTTGTTTATAAAATTAGGTAAACAGCCTACGTCAGACAAATTCTAGGTCCTATACCTATGGGGCCTCCATACGTATGAAATTAAACTTGTTTTCCTTCTGTTCATTGGTCTTATGTCAATTTGACCATTAGACCAGCCAAAAGAACCTAGAAGAGTAGAAAAAAGGTTTTTCTCCCCTACGTAGTCGTACCTATTTAGTGACAAAAATTCATGGAGCAACTTAAGACAATTTCTTTTTACCCCAGTCTAGGCTGACCTGAAATTTTATATCCCCCATCAAAACAGGGGATCCAGCCCAGAAACAGTCTTCAGTTCTACAAAACAGAAGACAAAATAGCAATAGCAGCCAAAACGATTCATAAAGTCAAAAAAAAAACGTTAAGGAAGCAGAACTTAGAGAAAACATCCAGAATCCTTTGGGTGCACTGCTTAAGGCAGTACGGGGTGCAGATAGGATGGTCACAACAGTTTGGCTCAGGGGATCTGACAGCCGACTGGCTGTGGGCATTTGAACTGGCCGTTCCTCCTAACTAAAACCTGACGTGCCTGAAATTCTCTGATCTTTGATATCGCCCTCTAATGACAATTATAGAGAGGATTTTTTCTGACGTTTTGCTCACATTTCAAAATTATTGATGTCACATTTAGGGCTATAATGTCAATGCAGTAACCATAGACCACGTCACCCCGTTACACGAGGCCTGCCTTGGAGATCACGTGGCCTGTGCCAGGACACTTCTGCAAGCTGGAGCTAACGTAAGTGCCTCTGAGAAGCGTTATACGTTTCCACATCACCCGGCTGAGAGAATCAAGCAAAGTGCTCAATTTGCTTCTCTTTCCTTCTTCGTAGTTTTCAAAAAATAGGAGAACAAAAATAAAGCTCTCAAATCGCCCCCTTGAACTCTAAGCAGGCTTTCCAGTCATTGCAGAGGAATGGGCAGCGTGCTGTGTGATATGGAGTATTCTTCAGGCTGTTTGCTGCTTTCGAGATTCTAAATAGCCGTAGATGAACATCGTTATGCCTGTAATGTTCGCTCATCTTTTCAATGATGCTTTTAAGATAAATTCTCAGAAATGGAATTTCCAATTTCAACTGCCATGAGCAAAGTGGCTTCACCACAACTGTCATCACTATTACATTTGTACCTTTTTTTCCTAATTATGGAGCCTAATCATTGAATCCTTTTTTTGTTTGTTTGTTTGTTTTTTGCGGTACACGGGCCTCTCACTGTTGTGGCCTCTCCCGCTGCGGAGCACAGCCTCCGGACGCGCAGGCTCAGCGGCCATGGCTCACGGGCCCAGCCGCTCCGCGGCATGTGGGATCTTCCCGGACCGGGGCACGAACCCGCGTCCCCTGCATCGGCAGGCGGACTCTCAACCACTGCGCCACCAGGGAAGCCCTGAATCCATTTTTGTGTATTTGATCCTCGGGTATTTTCTTTTTCATGATTCCCCTAGTCGCACGCCCACTCCTGTGGATTATCTACCACATCATATTTCTATTTATCCTTGTAGTGTTTAAGCTTTGCTTATGGATATGTGTGAGCTAAATAGCCTTTGTCATCTTTACTGGCCACATGTTCTCAATTATCTGTTCCCAGGTCACGTACCTGTTTTTAAGTGCCTGACAGCGAGTGCTGTATGATTCTGTGACTCTCATTCTCAGAGCTCTGGTTTGGTTTAGGTAAATGCGATCACCATAGACGGTGTGACCCCGTTATTCAATGCGTGCTCACAAGGCAGCCCCAGCTGCACAGAACTGCTTCTGGAATATGGTGCCAAACCCCAGCAGGAGTCCTGTCTTCCTTCCCCTACACACGAGGCCGCCAGCAAAGGTACCCGTGACCCCAGCTTAAGTGACAAGGGGAGAAAGCTCCTTCGGCAACATGCGGTGCCCTGTTTATAGTGAATAACTGCAGGGAGAAACCTAGGTGGAGGTGTACGTTTTGCGGGGGGAACAGGTATTCAGGAAACATAAACTCACCTGTACTTTGTGTTGGCAGGTCACCATGAATGTCTGGAAATCCTCATATCCTGGGGCATAGATGTTGATCAAGACATTCCTCATCTGGGAACCCCTCTGTATGTAGCTTCTATGTCTCAGCAGTTCCACTGCATCCGGAAGCTTCTTTACGCTGGTAATTTTCTGTACAACATCTTCCATTCTATTCGTACACACAAGCAATTATTCAGCTCCATGTTGTTTTCTGTAAATAAGCATCTTTAAAAATTACATCGCATGGCTAAAAATGTTCTTATTCTAAGCATTCTCACATATAACTATAAAACCCATGAAAAGAACCTCATTTATGGTAACTCCACCTCAAAACTCCAAAAGCCATATAAAAGGTCATAAAATTAAAATCCTCAAGGGTGGATATAATGGTGCCAAGCATGTATATCTCTGTGAACAAACCCATCAAAAGAAATGTTAGGGATTATAAATGATTAGATACCTTTTCTTCCAAGACTTTCCCAGACTTTGTAATCTACCTGAAAAGACTTAATCCCTCTTCACCTACTTGAAACAAACCAGTTCCTCAAGGTTCAGCTTTAGCCCCTGAGAAACTATTCCTAATCTTTTGAGACCATAGTGATGTCTCCCACTATAGAACTGGGAGCCCTTTTAGGATATAAATTATGTCTTTTTTTCCCATCATCTCTTTTCCCTAGCACAATGCCTCTCACGTGGCAGGTGCTTCAAATATACATAAAATTAGTAAGAGGATTTCTATGGTTTTTATTGTCTATGACACTCATTTGGCCTCTGATATATACTGACATATATTTTTAGTAATCCCTTTATGTGTTACTCACATCATCTTGGCAAAATTATAAACTTCTGCAAGCAGTGTCTGCATCCCTTTACATCTAGTAAGAGTCCTAAACGTGACTTCTGCTAATAACAGCTGACAGATGGTTATTTTCTGGTTATATTCTCCCATAAATTTGTATAACAGAAGAGTTTATTCTTTATCATCTTCCTTTACTTGGCTAGCAATATTCTTTTCCGAATATTTTATATTGGGTTAAAAAAAAACTGGAAAAGTATTGTTAGTAACTGTGGATCGATTGTTATTCTCAGGCTCTGTTCTCCCATAAAACTGATGTAACCAACAGAATTTACGCTTTCTCTATGGAGATTTTGTTATGGAATATAATTTTTCCACTAACTGTTTTACATTTGATTTGAAAACATTGAAAACAATTCCATTTATTGAAGCTTGAGCGTAGCAAGAGGGCCATAAAGGGACTATTAAAATGTACTGCTTCTTATAAGCATCATTAGTTTTACCGATGGTATCGGACAACAGAAATGAGAAGGACTTGATGGATTTTTATTAATAGACATGTCTTGGTGTTGTAACTATTTATGTCCTGGAAAATGGGATTATTATTGTTTATAATATTAAACAGTATGTATTCATTGCACATGATGACCCCCGTGTACCAGGGGCTTGCACTAAGATAAAACAACTATGTAATAGATAATTTAACATGTAAGAGTATTTTAATATAAGCATTTAAAAACTTGCTTTGCATGCAGAAATATAGTGTGCCTTTCCGTTTAAGAGGCTCAGTACCCTTATATATTTATTGAATTAAACTACATGAGTGAGAAGTAAGGGGAAAATCTATATACATTTTACCCAAAGAGCTCACCTATCTAGCTAGATTCATGAGTTTTCCAAGAAACCAAAGTGCTCTATTGCCTTAAAATAAATGAAAAGAATAAGAGCAATAAGCTCTGGAATAATCCTAAAAACTGTCCATTATGATGAAAAGGGATATGAGTCAACCTAATTGTGCGCTCTTTGTAATACTAATTAATATGACTCCTTTGGGAACTGTTTAAAATTTAAAAAAATTTTTTTTTATTATGAGATCTTTCAAGCACAGAGAAAAATGTTAGAGAATCTAACAAAAGTGTGCATTCTGCAACCAGCTGTATCACGTTTTAAGATGAAATATGCATGTTTATGTATATTATACATAAAGAAAGAACTCCTTGCAGAAAGAGTTGAGGCCCTCTTTGTGGCTGACACACCTGCCTCGCCTTGGTGAGGTTAAGTGACTCATTCAACTAACTCTGTTTGTATCTACCATCATTCCTCATTTCCATGTAGGCGCTGACGTACAAAAAGGCAAATATTGGGATACCCCATTACACGCTGCTGCTCAGCAGTCCTGTACAGAAACTGTAAACTTACTGCTGGAATTCGGAGCGGACGTCAATGCCAGAAACACAGAGCTTCTGAGACCTGTCAACGTAGCGACCTCTAGCAGTTTGGTGGAAAGATTACTGCTTCAGCATGAAGGTAAGAACAGTCCATGTGGGGCATTAAAAAAGTTTTGTTTGCCTGAAGTAGATGAAATTTAAAGACTTTTTGTTGGCATGTAAAATAACAGTGGGGGCTTCCCTGGTGGCGCAGTGGTTGAGAGTCCGCCTGCCGATGCAGGGGACACGGGTTCGTGCCCCGGTCCGGGAGGATCCCACATGCCGTGGAGTGGCTGCGCCCGTGAGCCATGGCCGCTGAGCCTGTGCTCCGCAGCGGGAGAGGCCACAGCAGTGAGAGGCCCGCGTACCGCAAAAAAAATAAAAATTAAAAAAAAATAACAATGGCATATCATTTGGAATATTTTTTGAAAGAAGATAATTTTTTGCCTTGGGTTCCACCTGTAAAGAAGGGATCATCTTGATTTCCTTTGTGCTCATCTTACCTAGATTCTATGCTCGTTTGGTGAAGTTAAACATAGTGTTTCTTTTGACAATAAACAATATGTAATTCTGTTTAATATTTTAATAAATATTTGGAAACATGCCCCATTTTATAAGGGCATGCATTATCTATAACGAGTTATAGAGACATAATCATGAAGTATTTTTGTTCTAAAACAGAAATTCTAAAGCCTGGTCCAGACACTGTAGTAAAACTTGCTTTGGCTTAAATAGTAAACCTAATCTGAGAAAAAAATAATTTTAAAAATTCCCCTTTTAGTGCATAACACTTCTTGGGGCTTTTGATTTATACCTCCTTCTAAAAGCAGAAATTTTTTTGAAGGTTTACATGCAACAATAATTTCATAAGCCTGAAGATTATAATGTTTTAAAGAACATGCATGGGCATAGACTATACCTCAATTATAATAAAGTCTTATAAATAAAAGCATTACAAGTGCTTATATAAATTTTCCTGGGATAATGGTCATACTCCCCTAGTTTACTGCAAAGCACTGTAGTTTTTTTGTGGTTTGATCTCATGTATGTTACAACATAGAAAACTCCATTTTGATTTTAATGAACAAATACTTTCATGTCTTTTGCAGCTACCCCAAGCTCTCTGTGCCAACTTTGCAGACTCTGTATCAGAAACTACATTGGAAGACCAAGATTACACCTTATCCCACAGCTCCAGCTGCCAACATTATTGCAGAATTTCTTACAGTATCGATAAGGCAGTAAAATAATTCTAAATGTTTGAAAATCAAAAATTTCTATTTCATCTGCATAGTGTATATTTCATATTAAAATATGCTAAAGATAGGGGAAAGAGATATGAGAACACCCCGGAGAAGAAGTGAAATAGCAATTTTAGTTAAAGAGTACTAGTACATACTATTGTTTTTTGCATTTTTACTGTTTTTGAACTATAGTATGTTTAAAATATCTATATATTACTAGCTATTCCCATATATCCCTTTGTTGATTTAGAAAAAAATGAGAAATTCACCATTTCATTTTTAGAATGAAACAGAAAAATGTGAACCCTTACTAAAAGTATTTGTATATTATATTTTTAAAGGTCTATATTTTTCAAATAATGTGTTAGCTTTTAAATTTTGGCCTCTGTAATTGACTATCTCTGTATTTTTTATATTAATACGAAATATGAGTATGGTTTAGAAAAGAGCAAGTTATATCCTTTTTGAAATAAAGTTGACTCTCATTCAGGAAACCCACCCTGTTAGATGTACACTTGTCATTATAATGATTAATTCCGTAAAGAAAGGATAAATTGCCCCTTCCCTGCAAAGATCCCACTGGTCACTTCACTGCTTTAAATGGACCTATTTCAGAAACTGGTAGGCCTAAAATGGTCACTACTGCCCTCTCACCCTGAGAACTTTGGAGCATTACACACCTGCTCAAACCATCTGAAGACCCTCTCCTTCTCAAGGGTGGCCTCTCAAGGTTTCCCTTCTGTGCTTTTACACGTATCACTCCAGCCTTCCCCCAGTTCAGAGACTACTGATAGCTGGTGATACCTGGACCCAGGAAAATGAACTTCATATCTAGTTGATAAAGAGGCCCTGGGATCAGGGCAGTCCAAGGCTATAGAAAATGGAAGAAGAAAAATGCCTTAACTTGTGGGGTTTTCAAAGAAAGGGACAAGGGGGTATCACTTAGCAAATGTAGAAAACTCAGAAAATGTACACTATCTGTGGACCTTCATTGTGGTGTTTCTAACCCTTCTTACACAAAGCAAGGGTTCTGCATAGACTGTACTGCAAGGGAATGCTGTACACCAGAAGGTATTAGTGTAGCGGTGTCCCCTGCAGGGGTTTATTCTCTTCTGCTTAACTGTACTTGAGTGTGATGTAAAACATAATTTAAAAAATTAAATAAAAAATTTTAAAAATCCTTTTTGCCTTCTTTGTAATTTAGACTATATCTGAGTTTATTATGGATTTAGAAATAAGATAATCAAGATACTTATAATACTGTGTAAAGTAGAAGAAAATATTTTGATGAGTTTTATATTATAAATTTATCAAATTTTGATAAAATATTTTGACCACTATTTTGATGACCCAGGGGCCTAGTAACTTAGTTCTTGGCTGACTTTCAGAGACCCATGGGAAATAAACTATTATTGTATGTAACCCCAAAGTTACTAAGATTTGCGTTTTTAAAAAATCATTTTAGATTTTCGAAAGTAGAAATAAGGCTGTAGCATGTTTGTTTAAAAAATGTCTTCTATGTGGGTAGAGACTTTTTACTTAGTCTGTTTTGCAAAATATCTCAGTTTAATAAATTTGTAATACCCTCAGAAGAATATGCATTTAACTGTTGTTTTATTATAGAGTAACCCTATTAAGTATAATTACGTATTAAAACTGCTTTTATAAAACAGTTTTCTACTAGCATTTTCCCTGAGCTAGAGGTCATCTTGGAGTATAAGAGTAATGCATGGCATCCCTCTTAATTGATCTTGTGCCAATAAGAGAAGTAAATATTAAAACAAAAGTTGACACTTGAAAATTTTAGTATGCTGGTACCTTGTATCTTAGCTTGAGCACAATTGTCTTATCAAAGATGTGTTCTAATTTAAATATATCATATTTGTTAATATATTAAAGTGGGATGTTTATCCCTGGAATAAAGCACTTTTTTTTCCTCTTCTAATTAGTATTTGATTTTATAATGGAAGATAATGGGAGAATATGATTCAATTGCCCTAGTTTTGTTTACCACTGGTTTCCAAATCACTGTATCACAGGCAGTGAGAGTAGGATTGAAAATTATACCTTGAAGGTCCTCTAATCCAAATCTTATAATATATATGTCTGTAAAGGTGCAAGGATAACATTCCACAAAGACAAAGACAAAAAAAAAATACTACAGATCTTCCTATACTTAGTAGGAGGTTACCTCCTGATCAACCCACCTTAAGTTGAAAATACCGTATGTTGAAAACGCATTTAATACACCTTCCCCACAGAACATCAGAGCTCAGCCTGGCCCACTTTAAACGTGCTCAGATCATATATATTAGCCTACAGTTGAGCAAAATCGTCTAACACAAAGCCTATTTGACAGCACAGCATGGAATATCTCATGCAATTTATCGAATACTGAAAGTGAAAAGCACAGTGGTTGTCTGGGTCCAGAGTGGCTGTAAGCATATGCCAGTTGTTTCCCTCCGTGATCAGGGGGCTGGCCGCTTGGGAGCTGAAGCTGCCCAGCATCAAGAGAAGATCAGACAGCATCTCCAAATTCAAAATTTGAATGCACATCGTTTTCACACGATGGTAAAGTCAAAAAATTGTTAGGTCGAGGACCGCCTATATTTGATATGAGATTAAAGAAATATAGTGAAATAAATACTGGAGTAAAGCACTGTTGAACACACTTATTTTGTAGGAAAATGTATTTAATTTCCATGATTGTTGTAACCACAGAGCATATTCGATGTTTCTGAGTCAGTAAACGGAAACACAGTGTAAAAGGATGGCCTCTTCTGAAAAGGTCTAAATGTATCCATCGTGTTTCCCTGGATGGCCCTGAACCCAGATGACTGGTTCTGCATTTACAAACAAAACAGTGTCCTCTCCCTTGGATTATTTCCACTTTTTCACTCTAATTTCTCTACTTTCCTATTCTTCATAATTGGTTTATTTTAAGGTTTGCCCTCTCTCTTAAAAACCTTAATAATCATTCTCAGTCTTTTTCAGGAGGAAAATTTATTCAGAAAATTCAGGCCTTGCTACCTTTCCATCTGCTCTAGGATTTCAACAAAAAGGGGTGCATTCCAGAGAATATAAACGACCTAAATACATAAAACAAACATCTCCTGGAATTGCTATGCTAAATGGAAACATTCACTCTGTGTCATACAAGCACAACTGATTAGGTCCGGTTGCTAGAAATAGGAGATTTTAGTGTTTCTGAGCCCAAACACGAACAGATCATGCTGGTAAATCATCCGCCAGACAATGAAGGTTCCCAAAGGCTCAAGGAAGGAAAGGCTGGGGTTCTGGGGGGCACAGGACTTGATATCAACCAGGAGAGGGTCCGCTGGATGCAGGGGAGGAGAAGTGAGTCAGGATGCTCACGGTCAGGACAGTTCCCACCACGGGAAGAATGTTTCCCTTCCGCAGGGCTCTGCAAAATCCTCCCATGTGAGGAGTGTAGGCGGAGAATCTATGAAACGTGAGGAAGAAAGAACAGGGTTACTTCCCTGCAGGAATAGCTGGGCTGGAGGGCAGGATAGGCCCTTGAACTTCCTTTATCCTGGTGCCTGCCTCCTGCATTAGACCAAAGGGATATGGGGATATATGTATACATATAGCTGATTCATTTTGTTATAAAGCAGAAAGTAACACACCATTGTAAAGCAATTATACTCTCATAAAGATGTGAAAAAAAAACAACATCAACAAAGGGATAAAGATGTGAAGAAAACCGTTTCCGATCTTCCCTTACCATAGACAAGATAGAATTAGCACCTTACACCAGACTTTTAAAAAGAAAAGTTTGGGGTTTTGTGGTGGTGGGGAGGGGGTTTCAGAGTAGAAGTGTGCTGTGGACATGGAAGGAGCCATGACTTCATCTCTCCGTGTATTTTTCTTGTGCCCGAGGCAGGATCCTTAGCTTTTGCCCTTCCCTCAAAATGAGCAAGTTAGGGGCTTCCCTGGTGGCGCAGTGGTTGAGAGTCCGCCTGCCGATGCAGGGGACACGGGTTCGTGCCCCGGTCCGGGAAGGTCCCACATGCCGCGGAGCGGCTGGGCCCGTGAGCCATAACCGCTGAGCCTGCGCGTCCGGAGCCTGTGCTCTGCAACGGGAGAGGCCGCAACAGTGAGAGGCCCGCGTACTGCTAAAAAAAATTTTAAAAAAACGACAAGATAGCATTTTGGGCCTGACGTCATCTCGCGGGCCCTGAACTTCGGGGGACCCAGGGGTATTGAGAGTGAAGGCTGGCACCTCAGCAGTTGCGTCTGGGGCCAGGACTCAGTCTTTCTGTAGCTGGCAGCCTTGTTCCCTCCTCCCACCCTTGTCGTTACAAGGAGGAGGGGCTGCATCACCGCTGGTCCCATTTCCCATAGGGCAGTGACTGACCCACACAGAGCATAGGCACGGGGCTCGGCCCCGGATGTGCCCTGCCCAGGCCCAGCACTGCCCGGGACTGAGCGCATGCTTCATTCTAGCCCCCGGGGCTCAGTATTAGGAGGACCCTGACCACAGACAGAAGCCACGTTCTCCGACAACAACTTGGTCAGTAATGGGCTTGATTTTTCCCAACTGCCTCAGTCTTTTGTCTGATTTCAGAATCGCTTGAGACTTCAGGAGGAAGGGTGTTTTGGATCCCCTTTATAGATCAACACAGTAGCTCACTCCTATGCCCTAGGCCCACACACCAGCCGCGGGGCTGACACATCTTACAGTCTACTTTCTCTCGCTGCAGCAGCGTTCAGAACAGCACATGGCGAATCTGCAAAAACACGTGCACGACCTAACTTCTGTTGCTTCCCGGGGTTCCCACCTTCACGAGCACATATGCCGCCCCCTCTTCCATCTCTCTGGGCACACGTGTGTACAGAGCCAAGTTCAACGGCGCTCGCCTCCAGCCTCTGTCCTCAGGCCCGGGAGGCTGTTCCCTTTCACTCATTGTGTTATCTTCACAATGAGGCTTTCCAGAACCCTCACTCTCTCCACAGCAGCGGACTTGCCTGCGCATCTATGCCTCTGCCTCTGCACCGCAGTTTGGCAGGTCTGAAATCAACCAGAACAGGGCCTGGCAGCCTCTACAGGAGGGACATTGGGCATCAGGTCATCATTGTCTTGACCGGCCATCTCGTGCCTCGTAGGATGCTTCCCAGCATCTCTGCCCTCGACCCACTCAACGCCTGCCCGCGTGGGCCCCAAATGTGTCCAGACGTTACCAAGTGTCCCTCTGAGAACCAGTGACATAGAGTAATCCCTCAGGG